GGTGGTCGTACCCAACGACGAGGATCTGAAGCTCGATATCCTCGCGGAGGCGCACGACGCGCCCTCCGGCGGCCACTTGGGCCGCGATAAGACATTTCTGTCGGTCCCACAGTCCTTCTGGTGGACCCATGGGTCGCCCGGTACGTTAAGACATGTGAGCGAGTCAAACCCGCAGGGCACTCTTTGGCTCCACTACAGAGCGTGCCCGTACCGGCTGACTGTTGGAAGTCGATGAGTCTTGACTTCATCTTTGGGCTTCCCGCCGACGGGCACGGCAACATCGAAATTTTGGTGCTCGTGTGTCGGCTGAGCAAGATGGTACATCTTGCTCCGGTTCCCGTCACTGCTACGGGCGAACAAACCGCAAGGTTGCTCGTCGATGGCGTGTTCCGCTATCACGGTCTCCCGGAGACGATTGACTCGGACCGAGACCCTCGGTTCACGGCTGCGTTTTTAAAAACGCTGTTTCCTTTACTGGGAACGCGTCTGCAGATGTCCACTGCGGACCATCCGCAGACAGACGGCCAGACAGAGCGCGTCAATCGAGTGCTCGAGGACACTCTGCGCAGTGTGTGCGCGGCAGCACCACGTACGTGGTCGACGCAGCTTTTAGTTGTTAAGTCTGCGCTCAACAACGCGGTGCACGAGTCCACGGGGCCACGCCGTTCTACTTGAACGGCTTCCGTCACCCCAGAAGGCCTCTCACGCTTCGCGGAGACACTGACTCCTCTATTCTAAGTGGGGAGAGGCTCGGAAAGCCCTTTCCTCCCAGGTCTCGGATGTGAGACCAGTTTCGCTGCGGAAACAAATGGAATCCTTTATGGATACCAAGCTGAACGTTGTCAGCAGGGTCCGCGATGCCATGGCAGCGGCCCAGGATAAACAAAAGGAGTACTCCACCAAACATGGAGGAGGAAACTTAAGTGTATTCAAAGTGGGGGACTTAGTGTTACTAGAGACGAGGAACCTACCTCTTGACACTGTCAGCTTTGTCGGCAGCAACAAGCTGAAGCACCGCATCATCGGACCATTTGCAGTCCTGGCCAGACATGGTGCATCGTACACCATCGACCTGCCAAAGTCAATGACGACGCACCCGACGTTCTATGTTGGACGTCTTAAACGGTACTTTGATCCGCAGGGGGTTGCTGACTCGCAGACCCACCATGGTCCAGCTCCCCAAAGCGAGGGCGGGTCACAGACGTCGACGGGGGCGTCGGAGCAGGCGCCCAAGCCTCGGTCTGGACGGCAAAGCCGCGGTCAAGACCGTACACCGGAGGGGCTCCATACGAACGGACCGCGGCGCCATTCGCCGAGTACGCTGAGTACGCCGGGTACGCACCATACGCGTACGTCAAAGAGTGTGCCGCAGGCGGCTCCGGACGTGGCAACAGAGCCTCGATCCGTCGGATCATGCGGAAGGCCTCGTCCAGATCGGACGAAGAGGCCCGGCGATCCACCCGGAGGTGCAGGCTCGCGACCTCTCGCCCCAACAGGTCCAGGCCGCCCGCAAGACGAGCGAGCTCGCCCTGATTCCCGGCCTGGGCGGCAGCATCACCGCCAGTCCCAAGTCCAAGTGCAATCTCAAGCACGAGGACACGTTGACGGAGGCGGTCAACCTCAGGGCCCTGTGTCGGACCCGCAGTCGGAGCACACGGGCGAGAGTGGCTCTCGGGAAACGCCGAGTACTCGTACTCGTACGAGGGCACCTCCACCCCTGCTTGACCGGAATGGAGAAGTCCACTTCCACGTGGAGCGGATCCTCCAGGAGCAACGGTGTCGCGGTAAGCGACAGCTCCTCGTGAAGTGGAGGGGTTATGCCCACTCCGAGAACTCGTGGGAGCCGATTGAACGGCTCCTGATTGACTGCCCGAAGGCTGCCGCAATCTGGGAACAGAAGCGGCGGCAGCTTCATAAGTAGTCCGTTTGTTTTTGCCCGAACGGGGTACGGACGATGAATACACCCCTTACCCGCGCTCATTGTGAGCGCTAGAAGCCGCGCGCTTCAGGATGTCCCTTGGCAGCATACGCTTGCTGACCAAGTGGGCAAAGCGAACACGAAGATCACGCTCTAACTGTGAAGTGAGCCTCCGCCGCGCTCGCGCGGCCAAGTCGATGGTTTTTGACTTTGAGAATGAAAGTTTGTGACGAACACTTCTTCATTCTGATTGGTCGGTAAACCGAACCTAAGTGGGGGTGAATGTAATGCGGTACGTAGCCCTAAGTGTACCCTGGCTACATGAAGTGTGACGTGTTACCCTTCAGAAGTATGGCACGTCATACTTCGGGATATTTGGCACAAGGTACCAAGGTCGTACAAAGCCAACCATTGGTTGATGACATTGCATTTCTATAGGTAACTTATAATTTGTATTAAACCCAAGCTTTTACCTACCTTTAAATATGCTCAGTTTACATTCTACCTTAAATAGGTCACTTCGCTCTCTTTTGATAAAGAGGGGACCTGTGAACTGCCGTTCACTGAGAGTTTGTATACTTTCAGAAGATAACTTCCTCTAGCGCAAGGTGCTGTGTGACCCCGTCACACAGATTCACGGAATGTTGACATATACAGATTGGCATAAAACAAGCATTGCAGGGCGGTCACTATCGGAATCAATGCAGGATTGCAGGTAAAAACAACAGGAATCCTATCAGTTGGTGAATCACGCTAAACATTTGAACCGTGATATCTATTAGGGAACGACTACTGTTTTTTTTTTTATGTATTTCACTTTTTTTGGGTGAGCAGTTCTAGGTGCTGCTCAAGTGAAGTTGCCATATTAGGTCACGCGGCTTTGCTCTGAGCCGTCTATTGTGGCTTCTGTGTCATACCTTATGTTGTTACGTACCCGTTCGTGCTGTTATGAGCGACATTAGCACTTATACCAGTCCCAATGCCTTACATACAAAGCAGAACATTCCTTTAACGCACAAGCGCAACGCGCAAACAACAAACTAACCAAGCATGGCACGCAAGCGCGACCATATCTGGGACTATTTTACGGATCACCCTATGGTGGCGCTCAAGAGTCCTAGAGCTCGATGTAATTTCTGCGGCGACACAGTCTCGGCATCCGTCACCAACACATATCGCCTCATGCAGATGCTAGCCCATGTCTTGCGGGATCACGTAAAGACAGCGGTCTGAGTGGCCTTGGCAGACCTATGTAGCTGTCAACTGCTGGCTTGTACGAGATCTCGAATACTACGTACTATGAAATTGCTAACAAAAACCTACAATAATAAGCATTTTTCGGACGAACTATGAATACCTCCAGCCGAACAACTTGAATATAAGCATCACATTTCGATTGATCAGATTATGTAGTACAAGAAAAGTTAAAACGATTTAAAGATCGCTGTCAGCTTTTTGTTTCTAGGTCGCTGGCACGATGCCCTGGTTACTTAGGCTTTAGCAGCCAAGGCCAAGAGGGCGTTCACAACCTCTTCCTCCTTCTTCGTTAGCTCGCTGTTATATTTAACTGCCTTGACCATTTTTCTGACCGAGTCGCTCGGTATATCCTTTAGAATCTCAGCAGCGGTCGACCTCTTGATAACGTCTTTGAGGCTTCCATACTTAGTTCGCTCTTCGCTATCGATCATCAAGCTACCATCTTCTGGATCTGTCACTCAGAGGGATCTCTTCTCGAAGTCGCCACTGATCTTAACATCTGACGCAAAACCAGGAGAGATCTTCGATACGAGCTGCGATTCATCCGCAGTCGTGAATGCTGTGACGACGGTGGTGCGAGTGAATAGCGCGGCGGCAAGTACAACATAGAACATGCTGCGCATTCTTATGGTGGAGAAGGATGCGATTGATTCGTGAAACGCCAGAGACCATTACGCTCGCTTGCAAAGCTGCGATGTGGATCAAACGTACTAGATTATTGCTTCGTAGCTGCGATATCTGTCAAAAGAACAGTGGCTATATATATAGTAATATACCTTGTACATCCGATTGTGAATTATCGTCACTGACAGTACGACGTATTTCCGATAGGAATTTCGTCGGCTCCCAGAAGCCCCAGCTTGACATCACCAGCAATCTCAATGGGCGTTTTTGCTGTGCTCGTGCTGACATGGCCGATGTCAACGACTTCGAGGTACATTATATCACAAAAAAACGCACTTTAAAAATGCCTGTCAAGTTAAATAATGGATAAGCCTTCCAATTGGCCGATTGTCGAAAACCTGGTTAAAATCCATTTTTAAATCAAAGCGCTATCATTTTCCGAATCAACTCTATATACATGTAGCAGTTTGTACTATAATAACATTGAACGGTGTTTCGTAAACGAGCTGTTTAAGGCATCTATGTCTCGAAGCTGCGCTGGGAGTCCCAGTACACAGTTCCAGTCTGAGACTGTGTTTTTAATATCACATGACCCTTTAACGCCGTGCACTGGTCATTGTGAGTGTGACCCACTGTACAAGCTCTAAACCATTGTGACAAATTAATTCATACTTCGAAGTCTAGTATTAATAAGTGGTGAATCATCAAAGATACTTGACGTTGTCTTTGGCCTCATCCGAGGCCTCTTCAGTATTCCTGTTTTCTAGTCATAGCCGGAATTACTTATTGTACACTCCATTCGTATTTTTCACAGCCCCTTGGCAGCAGCTCATCTTTAATTTACCTTCAGTACGTAGGATTGGTTGCCACCGCTTCCAATTGTTTGGATTGATTACTGTACTGCGTTTTATGGTACGTGTGTGGGTCAGCCGAAGTTACATTCATATTTTTAATAGTTCACTAGAACTTCAGAAGTACTACAATATATCCCACTATTGAGCACAGATGCGTGTTACACACACAGTATGGAGGACAAACTTTTTGGCGATCTACTGCGCAAGCGGCGCGTCGCACCAAGGCTAAAAGTGTCCGGGAGTAAGTGCCTCGAAGCGGGCAAAGCTCCAAAGAAACCCCCGACCAAAAGATTCATTGACTTAAACACAGTATACGGACTTAAACACGAACAAGACGACCCCCCAACATGGAGGCAAATGAGACTGAACGCAGCCATCAGAACGACGGCCCTCGTGGTGATGGAGGTGTGGCGGGCGCTACCGAAGGCATCGGCGAACACCTGGACCTTAATCAAGGTGGTGTAGGGCCGACCAATGTCCAAACGGAAGCAGAGCCCGCTCGGGGATCGCGCGCGTGGATCGAAAGCATGGAGAAAAAAACAGAACGTACCCGTTGGCATCAAAAGGACCAAGCTGTCGGCTTAAAGCGCTTGAGAACCAGTTCGACATCAGCAGACCACCGGACACCACTAGCCCGACCGGAAACAGAAGAGCGCGAAGTCGAGACGGAGCTTCTAGAGGATCTCGCAGATAATGAGTGGGCAGACATTGAGCGAGGGCTCGCGCAATCTAACATGCAAGTGTGCTTTTTAATGAATCCGTTATCGGTGGTGGTATCTAACGGTTGCGAGTGGAAGCTGGCTGACTTCATGACAGAAAACTTGGAGTTCTGTCAGCAGAATGGCATCCGCTTCGAAGGCAATGACCTCTTTCTCGAGCTAAAGGACCAGGCGTATCTCAAAGGAGTTCCTGTGCGGCAAGACCGGTCACTGTGGCAACTGATGAAGAGGGGATATATCCCCATCACGACCAGTGATACAGTGACATTGGTATGGGTACAACCCGCGTACACGGGCATGTTGGCCACGAACTTGTCTCTGTATGAGCTAGAGTACCGCAACGGAAATTACGTATCTCCAACTCAGCTACGTCAAATCGTTAAAGCAGTGGGGAGCCACGGATTGTTTGGTTGTGTCGCACTCCATGTACATGAACGAGAAGCAAAGATGGTCTCCGGCGGCATGCATGCGATACGCTGCAAGGACATCGCCGCTGCTGTACTCATTCGTTTGTTCTTTCCAAGTCCAGGTGAAGCCAACTCAGGGTACGCTAACTACCTTCAGGCGGCAAAACACCGCACGCGCAGAAGGGGGATCCTGCAGACACTATTACCCTCAGCCTGGTGCGTAACACAGACTGGGACCCAGCACAAAAAGTCTTAATTCGTTTGACAAAAGCCGTTCGTGAGGCACAATACTCGAAAGGTGTCATCGTTTATGGCGTTACGAGTGAGGTGAAAACGTTATTTCTCAAGGAGGCTTTTCAACGTGCTGAATACACGCCGGAATCTGCCAAAGTACGAAGAGGCCTAAGCAAGTCTGCGGTGGTAATGTTTAGCTCAGCCGATGAAGTCCACGAGGTACTCCGCCAGTTCGGGCCAGAAGCTGTAGAACGATTAGCAGTCGGTGACATACCACTACGGATTCGAGCAAGAAGTGGGAATGGCTGCTGAGAATGCCATCAAACCGGTCCTGTCCGCCGCAATTGCCCCCAACTAACATCAACGCAGCAACACCGAGACGCACGTGGATCAAACGCACACCAGACTCCAAGCACTAGTCAGCTTACGGTACCTCACAACATGAACAACGCTGAGCGGCTTGTGGAAGCGTGCCATTGAAGCCAAGATGGCCACTGTACACACATCACTAGCAAACATGACGCGTTATTGCAAGGCAGCCGAACAACGTTGTCAGACTCTCGAAAACCGATTGGATGGGATGGATGAGATCTGGAACGCAAGGATGGTGCAAATTGTCGAGTTCGCTCTAGCGAAGCAGACTGCTGCCGCAACACTCCAGGGTCAGCAGCGCAGTGGAGATCAAGACGACGCAATGGGCGAATCACGGAACGAGCCAAACATTGGCCATGCACCGAGTCGGTATTTTGCGTAATGAGGCCACATACGCCAGGTGTGGTCTCCAGAACAAGCAAAATGGGCTTTAAGTGGCAACTTCTGTGGATGATAGCACTGTTTCTGACACTGACATGTCAGGTAACAAGGGCAGCTGTGGTTAACGATGACAACCTTCAGACCCAATCAGGAGCGACGCTGGTAAGGCCCGAGGCCTACAGCGAGACTAACCTGGATATGAACTCCCTGAGTGGATCCGACGAATCCGTGCTAGAGGGTTAAAGATGTGCAGCTATGGATACCACTACACGGAGAGCGGAGCGAGGGGGTCGATACCATCGCCGGTGGCGACCAACTCGGTGTGTTATTTTAAGCTCACGTGCACCTGTCCGAAGCACGATCCTTCAGTCCATTCTTCAGCGGGAGCACTACTCGGGGGACTACATCGGCGATGACGTTCCATCACCGATCGACGCGGAGCACGATATTCGGATTTGTACGGTGAACATTAATAAACCTTACGGCATAAAATGGAGGAGGAGTTAGCTGGATGGATACTGGCGAATGGCATTGACATAGCAATTGTAAGTGATACCGGACTCCGCCCGCAACGCTCTCAGCAAATCTGGGTAGCGACTGCCGATACCAACGACCAATACCAGGCCTTCTTCTAATCGGCACCAAACGGATTGCTATGGTGTTCAACAAGGAGCGATGGGAAAACAGAGTGATCAAACATAGCGTATGTTACTCGCCCACACAAGGAGATCTATGTGCGTTGCCGTACGCCTAGCCAAAGCGCGAGAGTTATGGATGATTGGCACGTACATTCACCACTCCCCAGAACGGCATCTCGATGAAGTACACGATGAGTGGGCATGGGAACACGAGCGGGTGGTAGAGGGCCGGGCGCGGTGTGTTATGGTAGTGGTGGCGGGAGACTTTAACACCTACACGGACGACGTGTTAGATAGACCAGGGACCACAGTTCGTTCCGCGAGCTCGCAGGCGGTGATCCGGCAATTTGCAGCATGGACGGACTCTCTCGGATTGGTCTCTACATTTCGATGTAGACATCCGACAACGCCTCGGTATACGTACTCCAGACAAGGTACTCGGTCCACGCTGGATGACATTTACATCTCCGGAGAGCACGAGACAGCGATTACAGCTAGCGCTATGTGGATTAACAGCGTTACAACGAGTGACCACGCGGGTGTGCCAATGGTAGTCATGCGGACAGATCGTGGGGCGCGGATTGCTTTTACCCTTCAACATATAACCCCCATCAAGGTTGTTAATACACGGCAGAAAACGAAGGAGGAGATGCAGGAGTTTACAAAGCACACACGGACAATGTTACACTCTGTCGAAATCTGTCTTATTGATGATATCGAGGCTGCCACCAGCACACCTGAAGAGATACTAGTATGGCTTGAGCAAGCGATTGACAACCTATACTCCTGTCTCTATCTGAGTGCCAGGAACCTTTGGGGAGAAAGCAATCAGTCCAAACGGCAACTGGCGCGAGCTGTGTGTATCAAGAGGAGTAACCGTTGCACAGCCCAGCTGCGTCAAGCGCGTATCGTCCTAGACCAAGCAGATATTACTATTGACGACATTTAGGTGGCCGCTGGGGCAATTTGCTGGCCGAGGTGGGTTGCGTTCCCCGATACGATGGTCGAAGGGAGCTGCCATCAGAAAGGAGCGCGCAAGTTGAACGCGATAATTGCCGAACCACTCGAATCCTTGCAGATATCCGACTGGGTCGAGTGGTTTATGACTATCATTAAACTTTGGAGGAAGACAATTCGGACACGCCGAAATTGGAGACAAACAACGCGGCGCAGACTATGCCAGTAACGGCGCCGAAACTGGTTCGTCAGTGGGGCGACTAAGGCGTTCCTCCAGAGCTCTTTAGGTAAGCCACCCCCACCGGTATCTATCCGCAGTGCCATAATACCGGGCAATTCTGGACCGAGTTACACTGAAGACAGGGCGTAGGTGCAAGCTAACGGTCTTACTAGACAATTGGATACCCGTGGATGAAAGGACAACCATGCCACGGTACTTAGACACTCTGAATCCGGACGATATTCATACACTTCCACAATTTGCACAGGAATGAATTCTTCCTGATATTGTGCGAGGAGGACGATACGCCGCCGCGTGGCAGACTGCCGGCAAAACATGGCAGGACTACCACTACACGGCGGCGATGCAAGCAGAGATTGATAAACAGCTGAAGCAACATGTTGCACCAGGGTACGGTGGGGTTTCCCAAGAGATGTTAATTTCAGCTCCAGCACAAGTGAGGCAGCGAAAACAGAAGATTATTGAGCTAATCCTACGTACCGGACTAGCTCCGAAGATACTACGCCGGAAACAAATGGTATTCCTGCCGAAAACGACGAATGTGGACCCAACATTAGATGCGTCTAAGGGTTTACCACCATGGCGGCCGATCACGGTCCAAGCTGCCTTTGCCAACCGACTCTTTCTTGTAATAAAGCAGTTCGTCGATGGTGGTATACCACGCAGTCTTCTGCAACACGGATTCCGGTCGGACTGGTCTGTCATAGACGCCGCACTAATGACAACGCTGCTAATTGAACGAGCTAAGGCATTAAAGGAGCTACTCCTACTAGTATCTAAAGATTGTCTCAAGTGCTATGACCGTATCCCCGCGTGGGTTATGGAGCTCATATATATCGGACTAGGAGTTCCGGACACCGTGAGAAAACTGATGATCGATCTGCTGGGACCAGGTGAAATTGAAGTGAGAACATCATTCGGATGGATTGCCACAGGGGAGCGTGAATTCGGCATCGGTCAGGGCTCGATCCTCGCTATTCTACACATCGGAGTGTACATGGATTGTCTACAAGAGCAGCTCGAGAAATGCGTAGACCCTGTCGTGATCAGACATAGTCAGAAAGGCCACGGAATTAACATTGCCAGCACCATGTTTGTGGACGATCAACTGGACGTGACAACATCATATAATGGGCTGGTGGATCGTGCGAGGGTCTCCAATATGTTTACTGGTAAATATGCCACAGGAGGTGTTTTCGGCTCAGCGAAGTCATTTCAGATGTATCTCGCTAGGTCCACGGAGCATTACCCAGCGGTGCACTTAAATGGAATACCACAACCAGTGCAAATTGTGTCACCAGAGCAAGGCTTTAAACATCTTGGTATATATCAAGGCGGAGAGGACCAGTGGGCGGCGTCGCTCGAATCAACATGGCAACGAACAGTGTCGGACGCCGATCGAGTACAGCGTCTAGGGCTTTCGCTACCAGAATTCCGTTACGTGGTGAGCCATATATGGATCCCTCGATTGCGCTACCGCATGGTTCTTGGCGGGTCCGTAGACGTAGCAGCAAAGGTGGATATATTCATCCGTCAAGTGGCGAGATCGGTGCTACGACTGCCGTTCAACGTGAATACAGCTGTGTTCTATGATAAAGAGAATGGCCTGGGTCTGGAAAGCTGCGAGGCTGACGCGAATACGTACCGCTTAGTGGAGGCGCTACGTATCTTAAACTCATTGTCTCTCCCGGTCCGTCATGTTCTGACAGAGTGTTTAGAGGCATACCAAACCCGAGCTGGATTGACACGGCACCCGCTAGCTTACCCCATCGCTCCACCGAGAGGTGCTCGGTCTTGGACTGCTCAGCTGATCCGCCACGCGGCGTCGTTTGATCCACCGCTCACCATGGCAGTGGAGTGGACACAGCCACTCCAAACCCGTTCTAGCCGTAGCAATGATCGACCTCTCATCGACTACACTCCCCCGGAGCAGCAGTGTTCTCTCGTCGCCATCAACTGGAAGGTGGCCTTCAAATAGCGCTACGTCGGCGATATCTCTAACGTTTCCGGCACACAAACCATGAAGCTATCGGAACTGATGAGAAAGGGTCACTGGTCGGGTAACGATCGCATCACTCTGGAGAGCATGTACGATCACTGGGTAGAGGTCTTAACGAGGCCAGATATTAACCGTCTCCGTAGTCCAGTCGGTTGTACTCCAGTAGAACTTGGTTCGACTCCATTTCAACTACGCATTGGGGTGGTTCAGTGGATAGTTGTGGTGAAGATGAATACTAACGGTACGGAACCAGTAATTGACCACTACGAAATCAACTACATAGAAATCGGTGACGTGGGTAGTCATCCCCTCGGCCGTACAATTCCGATCGGATGGTGGTATGAACGCCCCCGCGGAAGTGGTGTGTTCTACGAGCGCCGACATCGGGTCGTGGAAGCTGAATTTGAGGCAGTCTGTGTACCTATCTCACCGACCTACCTACCTACGATGCCATCGCACCGACAGCGGGTTATTATCTGGGATTCAACTCGCGTCGACGGCAAGCACGGTGTCAATAATGATGAAGTACTGGACGAAGCCCTTGCTAGAAGCCGCATGCGCTATCTAACTGTTATCCACCACGGTCCCACGTTGGAAATGTCGACAGCCTGCTCGATATGCGGCCGTTACCGAGACGCACAATGTTGTCGTGAGTGCGGGCGGTGGCACCACCCTCAATGTGTACGTGGGAGCTGTCGTGGGATAGGAACTGTAGACAAAGATGGCCTCCTCATAGCGCGAAATCATGCTCTTCAATATCAATGGTCCACCAACAGCTCTGACGTATTCGTTTCAGCCGGAGACGGAAGCGTGTTAGCGGCGTGCACTCAGCACGCATCTGGTACCTGGGCCATGCAACAACCCGAGGGTCAATCAGTAACAGGTCGGATGGCGATTCACAAGAGCGATATTACGTCGACCGATGCGAGGTACACGCACTGATGGCCGGGTTGATAGCTACTGGGGACTGCGGTCAACAAGTATGTGACAACCAAAGCGCGATACAGATCTTCAATAGGGCACGCAAAATTGCAAACGGCGATGCACAGCCCAAGTACCGGGATCCGCATCGAATCGAAATTCGTTCGTTGCAACGCCTTATGCACGAACACGGCACAATGGTACCGAAATGGGTTCGGTCTCACCAAGAACATGTGGCGACTGACGATATGAGCCTGCAACAAGAGCGATCGGCACTAGCGGTGGTTGATACTGCGGCTGGGGCGGCCCAAGAACAGCGAATGACGATGTCGTATGCGAGTTGGGTTGACTTCGATGAGTACATGGTCTACGACGGTGAAAATCGACTAGTTTTTGGGAGCACAACAAAGTACTTGAGGGAGCGTTCGTATGCTTATAGACGTCAGAAATGGATTGCAAAACAACACCGTCACACTGAAGACCGGCACACAATGGCATACGATGAAATCCCCATGATAACGACTGGGAATTGGTCAGAGGCACTGTGCCGATTCTACTGGCGTGCAAAGCTGATGGCGTTGCATACAAATGCAGTAAAAAACACATTCGACAGCCGATGGTCCGCGGTATGCGTTAGCCGCAACTGCAGCGAGGCCGACACACAGCAGCACCGACTTGGGCTTACGCAGCCAACATGCAGCGAGGTATCTGACCTTACAAATATGCTCCGAACAATGTATGTGGAGGTGGAGCGTAAGCTTTGGCTTCCTGACCAGATACTGTTACTTCCGTCATTAGGCCATACAATTGCCTTAAATCTACTACTCCCGACCAGAGCGATGTGGAATGATACGGGTGCTAAGACGACGATATGGAAACCTTTCGTACGGCTAACAGATGATGTGTGGGTCAACACACAGTGGATTAAATGGTTTGGCGCCCCACACGTCTTGCGTAATAACCCAACGTTCATCCCAGTCATAAGAGAGGAACAGTCTCTGCGGAAACAGGCTCCAGGAGGCCGGCTACTGCCGACTCGACTGATCGACGCAGTTCGGCAAATCGACCCTGACATTGGGCTCTACGACGCGCTACCAGGGCAGATTACGCCTGGGTGGTCAGCGGTGACGTTTGCCTTGGACGCTAGCGTCGACGAGCTTGAGCACCTGCACCCGCTCGTCGACCCGCAACAGGTACAGAGCTGGTGGATCGATGACATATACGTGCCTCACTCATCCGTGTGGTGGGATGAATGTCTTCTGTCACAAGGTGGACGCATTTACTGGGTCGCGGCTTTCACCAACTCGGTGGGTTTTGCAAAGTGTACCAGCGCTGGATGCTGTGGCTCGTTAGGGTACCAGCGGGAGAGCTCCACATGCGTACGGACTACTATGTTATACAGACGAAACACCATCAACCGTTTAAAGCTATTTTCTCAAAGAACACGCTTGCGATTACGATCGGAATTTTATCGCCTCCTCCGCAGCTCCGTCGTATAGTCAGCGAGGCCCGACGCATCTGGGCCGGTACGGTGGGCCAGTTCGGTGCGTCAGAGTGGCTCATTCACCCCCAATCGGACGGAATTCAAAACCAAGGCCCTACTCTAGGGAAACACCCATACTTTGAGTGGTATACCCCACTATCGGATCCAGGTGCGTTTCCGCTATGGTGGAGCCGCGCCCGGCAACAATTGGATCGCCTCGACCTTGCGATCTACACGGCCTCGATGGGGTGGAGGCGTTACCCTACAATGACCATCCGCAGCGTGACGTGGGCGGAAGCCATGTCGTATACAAAACTCGGTGCTCGACTCCTTCACAATCAGCTGTTCCTCGGAATATGGGAGACATTGCATGAATATTGGAAGATCAGCTGCAAGCGCTGTAACACCGTAATTCGGCGCCGTCGACGTAAAACCCTGTATAAGGCGGTCAATGCTGATATTGTGTCACGACGAAAAAAAACGGTCTAAGAAGACTAAGGAGCGGGTGACGCATGCTATCAGCTCGAAAAATGCGAAATCTTCGATCCCGGGCCAGACGGTGGGCCGACGACGGGAGACATCGATAAGCTGAGCATGGGGTCGGCTTGGGACCTCTTAATTATCAAGTGAGACCTCATTGGGACGCGTCACACGAACATGACAAATCCCAACAGAACAACTCCTAGCTTAGTGGAGTGGCGCTCGACCATACCAAGCCCTTTAACCCCCCCCCCCCCCCAGCGACCAAGGTTGTATAAAACAACATGAATACATGTTGTAGGTACAACATGTTTATATAGGGATTGGCTCTAAAAACAGCCAAACTATACTGAAACCAAGTATAAGCACATCCCCATAAAACGTTTGATGCACAGGGCTAGGTTGCATGCGCGAAAAAATAGGACGCCAACAAATCCAATGATCAGGTCATGTTCTGTGTCCAATTCGTGTGGAGGGGGGCGATCGCACCTGCCAGTTGAGATTTTGCTGGCCAGGAAGAAGATCAAAGAATGGCAGCTCGGCGTGAAACACGCTTGGAGAATAGCGCGTTCATGAAACGCCTGGCGACGGTGCATGTTGACGACAGGGCACGTTTGCTGAGAGACCACCGAGCGTAATTGGCGGGTGAGCGATCTGCTGACGCAGACTTTGCGTCTGCGCGTCCAGCCGTCCTTCGACCACCGCCGTACAAACCACCGCCAATAGGTAAGGACGCCGCGTATCTATGCCGAAACAAGGAACTGATATCGCAGTAGCGGCACGGCGCTGCTGCAAAAACGCTGGCCGGGTCTGGGAAGAAGCAGCTACAACGGAAGAAAAACCAGTTGATGAGCCCTGGGAGCCAGACGACGAGGAGAACGAGGATGAGGACGAAGGAAGTGCGTGGGAAGGTGAAGACGAATTTGAGGTGCTGAGCCCCATCAGAAATTCGGCCCAGACAAAGACGACGGTTACGACCAAAACGGCGGGTAAGACGTCGGGCAAGACGAAAGTGGTGGCGAAGGCGAAAGCCGTGGAGAAGAAAAAATCGACGGACAAGACACCCCGCAAGAAGTTTAGCAAGACGTTGGCAAAGGAGGCTAGGGAAGCAGCTGCTGCTTCAAAGCGCAATACAGCGGCGAAGAAACGTCAAGATCAAGCTAATGATGATCAACAAGCAGGAAAGAAGGCGAAAGATGCAGCACGTAAGCGTTTGGAAGACAAGAAGCAGGAAAAGGCGGAGGACAAGAGGGCGGCGGGAAAGAAGCGTGTGGCTGATTCAGTGAAGCAGTCGAATTCGACTAAGAAGCGCCGGACCAGCCTCCATGCTGCGTGCCAAAGCGAAAGTGTCAGCAGTGTGGAAAGGTATGTACAACATGATCTCTATACAATATGTTTTAGGTCTGTGATTGTGCGCAAAACTAAACGTTGTTATGTTAATGTTGAGGTACAGCTCCGACAGCGAATCGGCGACTCAACAGTACGTGCAACGGTAATGATTGTGATGTTCAGTGATTTTGAAATGAATCTATTGCGTGCCATGTAGATTACTCCACGAAAGTGTCCCTGAAAGTGAACCTCCAACAGTGACGGCAAGGTAAGAGCATCACCATTTCATGATGTATTATACAACATGTTTTCTGGGATTATTATACAACGTGTCTAAAGTGCTCGTATGATTTGCAGTATTTCTACAGGGCTACAGACTCCAAACGTTCGTCAAACACTGCCGATTCCATTTGACGCTCTCGACTCTGATTGTGATGAAGACGACGACGAGATGATGTTTGACGAAGTCCTCGTAGAAATTGATCGCGATGAAACCTGTAGTGCTTCGTCAGATGACGAAAGCGTTGTAGTTGATGATGATGCAGACGAGGAAGACGGGGAGCCTCAATCGGAATGGCCCGTGCTAGAGCGAGATGAGTTGCTAGGCTTTGCCAAGGATGAACCTGCGTTGGCAAAAATGCGGAAGGGTGGCTGGCAACTTGGTAAGTGTTTTTAATGCTACTATTTATTGTGAATTTACTAACAAATGTGTACTTTGCCACTATAGATCCTGAAAAGTTTCCCGAAGACCAGAGCTATCCTGGGT